GCCAGGGTGAAATATTGTAAATTTTAAACTTCTAATTATAATATTCTAACATCCCATGTATTATGTTGAATACCCTGTTTTGACACCATGACCCCCAGAACAGCATCAGGCTCCTGTGCTCCAGCTGTAATAATTATTGACAATTCTGTGACACTTTCCACTATGCTGAGCTAAACTATAGGGATTCACTCCTTTAGAACAAAGATTCCAGGTTATGAGGCTAGGAAACATTCATCAGGGCTGTTACGTTGTCCGACTTTGGAAGGGGGACGTTATTTACATTTCCTGTGAGCGATGCCCCTTGAATTGGTCAGTGCAGAACCTTGGCAGCTCTGTGAGGGGCTCTGTGAGCATCTAACCAGAGACAAGCTTTGCAGATGCTCCCCAGGGCGCAGGCTTCACATGAGCTGATGGTGGAAAGGAGTGTGGGTCTCACGGTAGCCCTTCCAACCAAAACGAGAGCTCATAATTGTTATTGAGCAGCCTCGCAGAGTGGTTAACTGGTGGTGCCGTACATGGGAGACCAGGTGAAGTGAAAGACTATAAGAGTTGAAGAAGGTTGCATTTCAAAGAAATCAAAGATTGTAGACATTGAAAGGGATTGCATTTCAAAGATGAGGAAACTTCGGTCCAGGAAGATTTCATAGCAAATTATCGACAAAGTTGTGTTAGAATTTTCTGACCACTGCTCTTTCCACAATATGACTCTGCTCATATCAGGATCAGTTCCATTATTGATACAATTAGATCAGAATGGAACATGTAGTGAATGTCTACTAACAATTATTGAATGTACTTCAAACAAAAATATTACTTCATGTATGGTTCTAATTCATCACTATCAATAATAATAATTTGGCTCCTACAAATTGAGCATTTACTATACATCAGATACTATACTAAACAATTTACATGAACTATTTTATTTCATCTACATAACAACTCTGGGGAGCATGTCATTACAATATTAATTTTACCAATAAAGACATTGAGGCCGAGAGAAGCTAAACAATTTAACAGAAATTAAATTGCTAAGCCAGGGCTCAAACTCATGCAACCCGACTTCAAAACTTGCTCTGCAACTTATACTGCTTTTCATAGTCAATGATATCAATTATGTGCATGACAAGCAGTGTTGATTTGTACCATTTTTCTTTGAAGTAACCATCATCAGAATACTTTCTTTCCTTTGCAGTAAACAAGATTCCAGACTGTTTATCTCCTCTCCTCTGCTCTCTTCTCTCCTCTCCCCTCCCGTCCCCTCCCCTCCCCTCCTCTCCTCTTTCTTCTCCTCTCCTCTCCTGTCCTCTCCTCTCCTCTCCTTTTCTCTCTCGCTCTCATACACACACATACAAACACAATTAGAAAAATTTCTGCAGGCCCCTCAGTTTTAGCGGAAAGCAGCAGGACAAATCTCATAATCCTATGTGGCAAATTCTGAACCAACTCCTCCTTTCGACATAGATGGACACTTTCAATAAGAGACCTTGTGGTTTCAGCCAATGACCCAGAAGCTATTATTTCTTTCTTTTTGTCTTCAAAAATTGTGTTTCTCTGTCTTCCCTATAGAAAAGTTGGGCCTAAGGTGTGTGGTGTTCATCTCTTACCCAGCACCTTTCATGTAGTAAGTATGTTGTAAATGTTGGATGGGCGGAAAAGACAAAGGAAGGAAAGAAGGAAGGGAGGGAGGAGAGAAGATACATGAATGACTGTATGGGCACGTTTTCTCTCTCATATGTTCCTGGACAAGGGGTCCATAGCTGAACTGAGAAAAATACCTCCCTCCACTCAGTGGCTCTGGTCAAAACCCCTAGAGTGAATCTTGGCTCTTTTCTTTCATCATACTCCACATCAATTCATTGCAGAACTTCTGGACTCTCTCTTCAGAATAATCCCAATCCTACTTCATGCTACCTCCACTGCTATCACCACAGGCCAATCTACCATCATCTCTTACCTAGATTTTAAATTACCTTCAGACTGTTCTCCTTGCTTCTACTTTTTCTCTTTTATCAAAAAGACAGCCAAGACTATTCCTTCCAAAATCCTCTGATGACTTTCCACATCATTCAGAGCAAAAGTGAAAGTTCTTCCAATGGCCCATGAGACCTGCTGTGATCTGTGCCCGCCTCCACCTCTCCAGCCTCATCCACTATCACCGTACCTCCCTCCCTCACCCCAGTCCAGCCCTGTTGCCTTCTCATTCCCTCACTCACCATCACTTGGTCCCGTTGTGGGAAGATGAAGGGCAGCTCCCGAACGTACGGATGTCCTAATTCTCGCAATCTATGAATGTTACTTCGTGTGGCAGAAAGGACTTTCCGGAGGGTATTAAATTAATACCGTTACCATGGAAAGTTTATCCTGGATTATCCTGGTGGGCCCAAGCTAATCACCAGACTCCTTATCAGAGGGACCCAGTCAGGTCAAAAGAAGGCCAAAGAAAGACCGAAGCAGAGGGAGGAAAGGGAAAGCGATGTGAGCAGGAGCGAGGAGTTGGCAGCCCCTAGATGCTAGAGGAGGGCAGGAAGGAGGTTCTCCTCTGGAGCCTCCAGAAGGAGCACAGTCCTGCTGACACTTTGACTTTAGCTCCATAAAACTCACCCAGGTCTGACTTCAGGTACCATGAGAGATTGATTTGTGTTGTTTTGAGACACTGAGTTTGTGGTAATTTGTTACGGCAGCCATAGGAAATGAATCCACTCATTATTCTGTTTTATATTTCTTTACAGCACTATTTCCATTGGATGTGTTTTATATATACTCATTTATTTGTCCCTCAGGTGTTTTTGCCACCAGGACGCAAAGTACATGGACTTTATTTTCTTCATGGTGTAAACCCAGGTCCTGACACAATAACTATCTGCTGAATGAATAAATAAAGGATACATGGTCATTAAGTAATTGGCCAATACCCTGAAATAGCAGAACCTCAATAAAATATTCTTTAGACATAGAATTACAGACTGGTCTAGAACAGGTGGGAATGTACCAAGTGAGAACAGGTGTGAACACAGCCCTCTCTACACTAGAACAGCCCAGGAGAAGGACCCCCAGGACTGTGCCGCAGTAAGTCCCACTAGGAAGATGGTGATCGCACCTGAGCCCCATCGTATCTGGGGCTTCCAACACCTGCTCTGGGTTTCTGGAGGGAGGAGGAGCCTGAGCAAGTCACACTCAGACCCTCTACTCCCGTGCAAGCAGAACAGCCTGTTTTACCCATTTTCATATATTATATTTCTATTCAACATCATAAAAATCTGCAGAGGGAATAGGGGGTCACTTAGAAGCAGGGACTCTAACTGCCCCTCTCTTACCAAGTTCTGCTGAATAGTCTTAAAAAGGAGACCACACATGGGACTCAAGGTCGATGGTATACTCTGTAACATCTTCATTAACACAATTATAATAAAAATAATGTAAGCTTAATAAGTTCATTAAATCCAATATTTGCTTTGTAGTACTACGGATCATAAGTGTTTTAGGACTCACATGGTACTATCCTGCAGTTTTTCCTGTTGCCAGTACCAACTGGAGATGCCAATACCTCTTTCCCCCCAACTTTTGTTTGTGAAGTGAAGGCTAATTTCTGGTGAAATCAACACTTTGCCAAATTCACAAATAATTGTCTCAGTGCCAAGGATGATGATGATTGGGTGTTGCATGAAGTTGCATGGATACTTTTGTCCTGAGAAAAAATACACCTAGTCCTCACTTTTAAAAAATGGGTGTTTCTTAGAAATGATTACAGTGGTGATGTGGATACGGAGGCTGGAAGGCTGCTGGAATGCATCTGCCCCAAGGTCCCCTCTCTCGCCGAACGCCCACAGCACTCTGCTCACTCCTCTACTCACCAAAACTAGCCACGCGTGAGCCTGTCTCCTGCACCACATTGTTTTCTTGAGAATGAGGGCCCGGCCTTTGCGTATTCCCCTCTAATGCTCAGCACATACTGGCAAGCTTTGTTAGGTACCTAAGTATGAGCCACACACTCCGCTAGTTGCTTTTTTAAAAGGCCCTGTGGTAGAATAAAGGAGACACAATTTATACACAAAACCACTCGGGAAAAGTACAGAGTAGAAAACAAAGTACTAAATTAGTAAATAAAGTGTATTTCACTAGAAGAGTTTTTGGAAACCAGGGAAGGGAAAAATGAGTGAACTGGAGCTTTATAGGTAATAGAGTAATCATCTTTATTAGCAAAAAATAACAGTATTACTAATATACTGTGTTCAATTTTAAAAACATGTAAATGTGAATATTGTGGGGGGTGAACATGGGGAAAAATGTTCTGCCATCTTGAATAATTAGGATGATTTTTTTTCAGCCCTGAAATGCTTTTTATGTTTTAATAATATTCATAGCCATAATTTTTATTACATACAAAGATCACCAAAGTTCTTTGCTTAAATACCATAAGCATTAAACATTAACACTGACAGTTAACGTCTTACTACTACTGAAATCATTTTACTTCATCAGATATTTTAGTTATATTGGTACCAAAAGGGCAAGCGTGGTGTCAGAGGTAGCATTTATGGACCATTTACCTGAAGTATCTGTGACTTTAGAAATGCTAAGAAGGAAATTCCAGCACCTGACTGTAGATTCGACTTTCTCTCACAAGCCTTGGTTTTGTTTTTAAAAATCATGCTGATGAAGGAAATTTTACCAGACAGGACAAAATGTACTTAACGTCTGTCACAAGGTAAGGATTTGAGCAGCAATCTCAGCTCATATGTAAGTCAACTCTTAAAAAATGCTTTGCCATTGGCATGTAACAGTCAGTAATGAGACACACACTTTACATGCAGGTTCCAGTTGCTGTAGCTCTGAGCCACCCCGATGAACCCCGGAATGACTGATTGAATCAGCCCCACTCTTGTATACATATTGAGGTCCGAGGACCCTGACACTGGGCATCTTTCCCCGGTCACTCAGAGCAAAATGAAACACCAGCTATGCCATCTGCAGGCGTGCCTGTCAGAGGCAGCCCTTACCTTCACATAGAGGTGGATCTCAGGATTCGTGGAAGTTGATTTGTCTTCTTCCAAACCATCATCCGCAGAATAGCAGGTGGGGGAATATTCACTGCTCTGCTGGACGGTGAAGCTTGAAAAAGAAGGCAGGTTCTCCTCCATCACGCCTCCATTCTCCTGTGGCTCTTCTGGGCTAGTCTCCCGGTCCTGAGTTTCTTCCGTCGAGATGTCCCTGTCCTCCAGGCGCTCACCTTGTTGTGGATCCTGGGACTCGGGACATACCTCATCAGGCAGGAGGTAGCTTCCTCCTTCTGGGTGGGAAAAGGCCAAGCTGTTCTCCTCTCTCCCAACAGCATAAACTGATAGAGAGTCGTATTCATTGGTTCCCAGCTCAGTGGCATATAAATCGTTTTCTGCCCTCAAGTCTTCATGGATGTTATTATAAAGGGCACCTTCATTTTCTGCCGGCTGGTCTAGAACCTCATACGCCATCTCTTTCTGGACTGTGTCGTAAGTGGTGCTGTAGTCCTCGTCATTCATGTTTGTGTATCTGATAGATCCCTTTGCAAGCAGACCTGAGTACATCTGAAGTGAGTAAAGGGACAGAGGATGCAGCACTGCCTCGCAGAGGAATCAGCGGGCTTTTGAAACGCAGAAACCAGCAACAGCTATCAATGACAGGTCTCTTAACAATCATTTACCAGAGACTTTAATCAGCAAACCACAAGTTCACTGGCCACCAGATAAAGCTTACACACTCAGTTAACTCCTTCACTCCTTAGGGTATTTTCAACCAGACTCTGGAGTTTTCATCATTGCCGGTAACTCCAAAGTTCTTTGGATTGACTAAAGGTTGACTTGAATTTCTCCCCAGTCTACACTGAAAATTCTGAATATTTAACTATTTGTCACTAACCAGAGCTCCCTCTTCGTATTGCTCCCCAGTCAAGAAGTCCCTGCACATCAGTTCTTCACAATGTAATGTATATTTATAGCTAAATTCATTACACATAACAATTGAGTATTGATACCCAGTGATAAATGAGTTATATGTACTCCAGTTAAATAATGATCCCTATTTGCCTTTCTTATCTGGAAACAGCACTAGGTGATTAAATGGCAGAAGAGAAAATAAAGATAATGCTCTCACCTGTGGGCACATCAGCACCGACCACCAAAAATAAGGGACCACAAGGTTTACAGCTTTGAGTTTTATTTTTCCTTCCTAAATCTGGGTGTTCACTATAGTCAACAAACATTCGCTAAGATTTTATTATAAACAGGATACTGAACTGAACACTAAACATGAGAGTTAGAAGATACATTCTCTGTTTTCAAGGGACTTTTAAGTATAGTTGGAGAACCAGGAAGAGAAACTAAAACCCTCTTCTGGACACAGAAAGAAATATTCAAGTTTTGCTCAGTATAATTGGCCCAGCTCTGGAATAAGCAGCAAAGAACTTGGTGCATAAATTTGCCTGTAGATGTCATGTATAGAAGCTATGGAAATAGAGGCTTTGTTTTTGAATCTGCTACCTTGATCTGTTAATTCCTACTTCTCATCACCACATCACATACATCTTTCTCTTTGAAGTGGCAATCCAGATAAATTGTAAAGGGACTTTATGTCTAGAAATCATGTGAAAATTGAGACGCAATGCAGCTGTGGTTGACAGGTTTCAGAGCATTTGGCGAACATCTTATTGACAAAACTCTATTGTCCCCTTAGCTCCAATATTCCATCCAGAAAGTTTGTGGGATGAATACCCACAGTATTTTTAGAATTCTGGGTTTTGGGAATTCTAGAATTCTAGCTCAAAGAATAGATAAAATGAAAGAGGTCAGAGGCAGACTTTAAAACCTACTGACACTTACCTCTCATGTTATTGAAAAGTGAGAGTTGAGGAGTCCAAATACCTGACAAATTACCATAGGTGCCAGAATCAAGTATTTATAACCGAATGAAACCCCATTTCAGTTCCTCCTCAGATCTTAGCACTGGAGAAAACCTGAGGGATCATTCAGTCTAGCATTTTATTTTACATTTGAGAAAATCCTGAAATCTTGAAAGGGGAAGCTAGTGGTCCAAGTTCACAGAGTTAATGAGCTGATTTCAGCTGCAGTTTCCTAACCTCGAGCTCAGAGATCTTCCTGCAACTCACTGCATTTTTTAAGTCGTCATTTTCCAACTTTTTCTCATCATCACGCCCTTCCCTCACCTGACCCCCAAAAGATCCTTTGTAGATATTTTCCCCATGCAATTAAAATACTGCAGACAGACTAAATAGCTGTTCACATACCGTAAGTAATCTGTGCTTTAGACATAAAATTTTTGTCCCCCTTTTTAAGGACGTGTGTTTTCATTGCTAAAACACTTCCAGTGTGCAACTCATACTCGGCCACGGGCTTTTGTGCTGTTCTGCATTATTACCAAAGAGCAATATTCTGCAACCTGTGCATATGCACACAGCCTGCTACCAGTCCTCACTGGGATGACCCAGGGAGGCAGCAGGGGCTGATGAAGCTTAGGGCCCAAGAGCACAGAGACATTTTATAAATTCGGTCCCCTTTTGTCCCTTTCAGGACACACCTATCATGATTTAGTTACAGGTTGTAACACGAAACCAGTCATTGTGTTACAATGTAAGTCAGGTCGTACCACTCTCTGCCCAACCTCTTGGGATAGCTCCCTACTTCTCTCAGTAAAAGCCAAATTCTTCACAACGACCCACAAAGCCCTACAAAATGTACACTGGCTCCCCATTCCTGTTTTTCTCCCCCTTGCTTTCCCTGCTTCAGACAACCTGGCCTCTTGGCTATGCCTTGGAACACTCCAGAATGTTCCCACAGTAGGATCTTTATAGTGGCTGTTCCCACTGCCCAGAGTACACTTCCCCGGATACCTGCATAGTCAGTTCCCCAAACTCCTCTAATTTTTCTTACACCCTTTCTTTTCAATGATGCCACTCTGGCTGTTCTGTTTAATATGACGATCTATCTCAACTCCTACCTGTGAACCTCTCCCATTACCAAAAACACCTACCTGAGTTTTTGTTACTTTTTCCATAATACATATCACCTTATACTAAGGCATATACTTTCCTTATTTATTATGTCAAGAGTTGATTTTCTGTCCGCTCCAACTATCATATAAACCCTGAATGGGCACAGTTCTCTGTCTGCTTTTTCATCATGATCTGAAGCACCTAGAACACTGCCTGACCAATATTAGGTACTCAGTGCATGTTTGTTGAATGACTTTCTATAATTATTTGATATCTTTACCCTCCACCAGACATGTAAGTCTCATGAGAACGAAGTCCACAATATTTTGTCCATGGCTATATACCTAAAGTCTAGCAGATATCTGACATAAAATAGGAGCTTATTAAATACTTGTTTTATAAACAACCACACAACCACAATGGGGGAAATGTATTTAGAATTCATGTATTCATGTAAATGTATTTAGACTCCTGGTCTAGTTTCTTTTAGTATTATGTGTATAATCTTATCTCCTTCCTATATTGTAAACTTCTGCAGGAAAATAACTGAGAAGTGGATCTCCCACAGCATTTTGTATAAAGCAAGTTGGCTTGTTTACTTATGAAAGGAACAGTCCACCAACCAATTTATCAGTAAAAATATTTTCAGGGTTCCCTATGTCTGTTGTTTATAACCTAGGAAAGGAAGTAAGACACATATACATTAGCTTGAGAAGTTCTAAGAATGTTTGTGTGCTTTCAGAAATACAAGAGGGAACCCTCCAAAAGCCCAGAATTATCTTCTGGAGGGTGGGCCCCCTTGTAGTACAGGCTTCCCCGCTGGCTGAGTGCTCTAGGAACCCTTCTGTATCCATGTACCAGCCGGTGTTATTGTGAGAAGCTGCATTTGGCTTCAGTGAATTTTTTTGAAGACTCTTTCAGGGCCCTTGCCCATTTCATGATGAGGGATTTACGAGTGCAACTGCCCACACTGAGCTGAATGTTCAGCAGTTTTTGACCAAAAATGGCATGACCCCCATACCCCACCCTCCTTATTCACCCGATTTCACCTCGAGCAACTTTTTTCTTGCTTCCCTGGATGAAAAAAGTCCTCAAAGGGAAACATTTTGTCCATGTGGAAGAGGTGAAACAAAAAAATGGCAGAAGCACTAAAAGGCATAAAAATCAACAAGTTCAAAAACTGTTTGGAGCAGTGGGAAAAAAGTCTCGATAGATGAATTGCATCAAGTGGAGAGAACTTTGAAGGTGGCTGAAGTTTAAACATGTAAAAATAAATACACACGTTTTTATAAATAACGTACAGTTTTTTGGTGTCTCCCTTCATACACATAAGCTATGTCATACCCATGTTTGGAAAACTTCAGTGGACCCCAAGCACACACAGAGAGGTGTCTGTTCCAAGACTTTTCTCAGAACAAAGCCTGTTTGTCCAGACAGCTGTCCCCCAAATGTCCTACTATGTCACCAGATAAATGCTTTTCCCTGAATCCACTATGCCATGTCCCGCCCCTGTGTTCATATCGTTTCCTCTACCGGACAAAATGCTACCCACTCTTCTATATGCAGGATATAAATATGTGTAAGAGGTGATCTTATGTGCACATACAACTGAGGAAATTTGCAAACTAGTAATTCAACAGAAAGGATCCAACTGGGACTTAAGAGCAGACCTGCCCATGATGTGGAACAACTTTGGGGTCGATGTCTAGTCTTCCGCTTTGCATGTGCAAAGACTCAATTTGGTTACTTTACACAGGCTTTTTCATATACTATAGATAGAACTCGGTCACTCTGACTAAACTCAAAAAACATCAGTTTAGCAACTGAAATGCCATTTTATCTATTTAAATCCTCAAGTAAATAACATAACTACCAAATTAACTTGAATACTTGCTTGAGTTAATAAACATAAACTCTTCACAGTAGCAAAGTCTATATAGAAAACCTGTTAAGATATCCTAATAATATGTTTCAGTGATTTTTGTAGAAGCTAGGACAATATTCTCTTTTTTCAAACTCATTATCAGTGATTGGTACTTTTCTTTTTATCTTGATCAGTCTAATTAGGAATTTATCACTTTTATTTATTATTTTAGAGAATCACTGGCTTTATTAATAATCTCTATTGTGCATTTCTTTGCAATTTCATGATTTCTGCTCTTATCTTTATTATTCCTTTTTTTCCTTTCTTTGGTTTTATTGTGCTGTTTTTTTTTTTTTAAACTCAAGAAAATCATGATGGATACTTAGATCACTGGTGGTCAGCCTTTTTTATTTTTTATGTATCTATTTAAATCTATTAAATTTCCTATAAGTATAGCTTCATCTACATCCCACAAGTTTTGATATGTTTTATTTTATCATCCAGTTCAAAATACTTATTTTATGTTCAGGGTTTTTTTTCCCCCCATTTGTTCATGAATTATTTAGAAATGTACTGATTAATTTCCAAATAGTTGAAGATTTTCTAGTTATCTTTTTATTATTAATTTTTAACTTAATTTCACTAAGGTCAGAGAACAGTCTTCTATAAATTTTAATCTATTGCAA